ATTTTATTTCAAGACAATCTCACACTCACCACTTTAGTCTCTTCACCATTTATTTGAAATTCACTTATTACCTCTGTGGCAATACTAGGGGATGTCTGTAATCATGAAAAACAGATTTTATTTAATGCACACAGTACATTTCCTATGACAGGTAGTTTTCATCCTCCAAATATAAAACAAACTTGAGACAAAAAAGTTTGCTTCAACCCATAATTGTAGTCAAAAACAGGCATGCCTTTCCTGTTCCAACTTAACAACAACAATCTTACAAGTGCATAAGGTGCATAAAAGATCATGTCTTAAAAAAAGTGGTGAAAAAAAGTTGATAAACCAACTGTCCACAACAGAGATAACAAGGTGTAGAGCTGGATGAACACAGCAGGCCAAGCAGCATCAGAGGAGCAGAGAGGCTGACGTTTCGGGCCTAGACCCTTCTTCAGAACAGATATGTGACAACTATTACTGGGGAAGTACTATTTACATTACTATCTCACAGAAACAAACAGTGACTGCAGCTGGACAGAATTCAAAACAGGTAGCACTGGTAAAAAGTGGCTTCCTTGGGTGAAAAGATTGACCGAAAATATCTCCATGCCTACAAATCAATTAAGTATGAACAAACTCTCCTTAACACTGACTCTACTAAATTAAACAAAGTCAGTCAGTAACTTAAACATTCAATTTTTTAAAATTTATACACGATATTCAATGCATCAATACAAGAACAGTAAATATCATTTCATTACTCAAAAACACTTTACACAAAGCAGAAACAGGTATGCTGGTTCAGTCCACACACTTCACTTGTTACTGTATCATATCCTCGGCCAGGCTGCTTTAGAGGAAATAGATTCCTTACAATAAAAATATGATAAGACTATATTGAAATATATAATTCCTACAGGGCTTAAAATGTAGTAGATGATCAGAGGCTACTCCTCATGCTTGGTAGAGTCTAACAACTTTAGAAAACAATTTTGCACCTTGCATCTTGAGATTAAGCACTTAGGGGAGAAGAAACTTCACTTAAGGTTTGTGGATTATTGGAATTCCTCACCTCAAAGGGGAGTAGTCAAATGAAATCCTTGTCCCATTCTTGAAGAGTTGTGCTTCTCAAGCTAAGCGGTCAAGTCAGGAATATGAGCAACATGCCACAATGTGGTGCAGTAGATACTTCTTGTAAGGCAGTGGGTAAGTCACTTGAAGTGCAAGCAGATTTAAAAGTCCGAGATACGGCCAGTGGGAATTGGCACAAGGCGACGACAGTAACTCACCAAGCTAATCTAACAGTCGCTGAGCCATCTGCATACATCAGTCACAAGCAAAAAAGGCGGACAATCTCAATAAAAAAATGCTTTCTTACCTTGAGATGAGCAACTTTTTCATTGCTAATTGATTCCTTTGCATCTTCCTCTGGACTTTTATTAAAATCTCTAAAATTAAACTTCCACAACAGCGAGAGATCCTTTAACAGCAGAGGAACCTTCAATGGATTTTTGAACACAACTTCGACTGTGACTGGTTCTACACACAAAAATAAAAACACACTAAGAATGACAAAGAAAAGTGCACGATGGCAAATTATCAAATGAAATCACTTGTTTAAGGCTCAATGAAGACAGCATGTCTGTGGTGCTCTGAAGAAAACAATAAAACCTGATGCATGTAAAAAGAAATTAGACCCAAAGAAATTCCATTACTGAATCTTTGGAATCACTCTGGAAAATGAAGGTGTCAGTACGGATAGGAAACTTGGAGGCTTTGGCTCAGACAGTCTACAGCTTAAGACTGCACTTCTAAAATGAGGTTCAAGGAATGGTGAGAAAATGAGTGGGAAGGAGAAGGTCCTCCTGTACTTTAAGAAAAAACATGATCGTGGCCAAAAGTGAACTCTCCAACCTCATGCAAAGCAAAGCACAGCACTTTACAACTGAAGTGTAAACATTGCTGCAATGTAGAAAACTTTGCAGGCAACATGCACACAGCAACCTCCCACAAACAGCAATGAAATAAACAAGTCAATAATTCATATTGAATCATGTTGGAGGATAAAGGTTGGCCAGGACAGGAGTACATCCCAGATCTCCACCAAATACTGCCGTGACATGGAGATAACAGAGAGGGTCAAGTTAATTCAAATAAGTGAACAGGATTCTGTCTACTAGGTTTTAACCCAGGACCTACTAGCTCAGAAATTTTAAACCTTGCATTACTTGGTTAAAAGATTTACATTCAACACAAGCATCCATATAGAAGAATTCATTGAGACTGATTTACCTTCCACTACAGCCACAGGAAATCGCAGGTTGTCTGTCTGGCTGTTTAGGCAGTACTGAGTTGGCTGAAAATTCAGTGGTACTGCTCCTTTATTCACCACAGCTACTACCTGCTCCTCAAGCTCTTTCCATTGCTGAGAGGCTTCACGCTCATATTCCTGATCTAAACTCACATGGGTGGCCGCTTGCTTTTCTCCTGATAGTACAAAGAAAGATTACTTAAATATGCAGTGAATTAATTAATTAATAGGGCTCCTTTACAGTACTGTAAATTCACTGCTATGGAGCAAGGAAACAAACAAGGGCAAAATCTCCTTGAAACGCAATACAATTTGCTATATTTGTTCTATTTGAAAAAAAAAGTGATGTAACATAGCTTCAATTTTATCTAGAGCTGCAACTCCCAAAAATTAATGGGATAAATTTTAACTGGGCAAAAAAAAAAAAAAAAAAAAAAAAAAAAAAACAAAAAACTTTGCCCAGCCAAAGACTTCAGAACTTTCTCCCCATCTCCTCAGGTGAAAATGATACAAGCAAAAGAGATTTGGAGGACTTGCAGGAGAATGGGGGATGCTATATTTAGCCATCAAATTACAGTTAATAGTTTCATTATTGAACAAACAAGCTGACCGCTCAAGTAGTGTAACCCAATTCAGGACAACGCAGCCTACTTGACTGGCAGTACACCCACAAACATTTACTCCTTCCACCACTCAGTAGCAGCTGCGTGTACCATTTACAAGATGCGCTGCAGAAATTCACCAAGGTTCCTTAGACAGCACTTTCCAAATCCATAGCCACTACCATCTAGAAGGACAGGAGCAGCAGATAAATGATTCCACCAGCTTCCCCAAGTTCCCCATTCCGACTTTGAAACATATCATTGTTCCTTCAACGTGACTGAGTCAAAATCCTGGAACTCCCTCCCTAACGGCATTGTGGGTCACCAACAGCACATGGACTGCAGTGGCTCAAGGCAGCAACTCACCGCCCTCGAGAGCAACTAGAGACAGCCAATAAAGGCCAGTGACAAACATGGCTCTAGAATAAATAAGGGGAAAAAATCTCCATGCAAACGAGTGTGAAACATAAAATTTGATTAGTTTCTCCAGATGGTGGTGTTATTGGACTAGCAAATCAGAGGCAAAGTCTTTTAATACCAAGACAACAAGTTCAAATCAAAGTATGACAAACAACTGAATTCAAATTCAGAAGTTTAAAAACAAATAAAAAGTTGGTTACCGCTAAATGTGATCACAAAACTATTGGATTGTCAGTAAAAGTCAACTGGTTCATGAGAGGTCTTTGAAGGAAGAAAGCTACTGATATCAATAGATCCAGTCTAACCAAAATTTAACCACATGGTCATAGCAGATTGGCTGCCTTCCACCACTCCAAAAAAAAAAAAAAAAGGTCTAGCAAGCCAGTTACATAAATTCAGGCTGCAAGATAGGCAAAAAACCACTACCACTCTGAAGTCCAGAATGAATCAAAGGAAATCCTGTTTGTATCTTGTTGGAAGGATGTTAATGCATTAGAAGTAGTTCAGAAAAGGTTTACTAGACTAATACCTGCAAAGTACACATTGCAGTATGAAGTGATACTAGACAGGTTAGGCTTAAATCCTCTTAGAAACGATTCAATTAAAACACAAGATCCTGAAGGGACCTGACCAGATGGACTTGGAAAGGATGTTTCCTGTTGCGGGAGAATCTAGAACTAAAATGGTGGTGTTGTGGTGGAAGGCATTCAGGATAGAGAGGAGAGAAAAAGAAAATTCTCAGACGGTTGTGTCTTTGGAAAACACTTCTTCAAAAAAGGCAACGGATGCAAAATCTCCAAATTTTAAAGCAGTGGTCAATAGACTTTATTACCAAGGGGATGAAACATTATCAAGAGTATGCAGGAACATAGTTTAAAATCAGGTCAGCCATGATCTTATCAAATGACAGAGCAGGCTCAAAAAAGGACCAAGTAGCCTACTCTTGTTCATTGGTCATATGCTTGTCTTTTTTAAATACGGGTAAGAGATACAAACTAACAAACAACTAACCTTCAGAAGGCCGCCTGTCATGTCCAAAAAATACCCGAGTTGCTGAGCTGTTAATACAGGGTAGAGGAAGCTGGGGTAAAGGTCCGTCAGGTGACAACTGGTTCACACTCTGAAATGTAAAGCGAAAGAAATTCAGAACCTGATAAAATCTACTGAGGAGACCTAAAAATCTATTTAGAGAACCTGAAGTGACAGAAACCTTAATACTGTTTAGAAATTCATTCACTTCTGTCCCACCACACCCAACTTCCATTTTTGTATCATTAAATTTCATTGTTCTCACTACTCAATTTATTACAGTAAATAACCTTCAAAAGTGCCTTATAGGCTATAGAACACTTGGATACCCTGAGGCTAAGAAAGGACAATCTGAACATTTACTACATGCAACAGAGAACATCTCAACGATGCACATGATTTTTCTTAAAAAGTTCAAAGGCTCAGTACATCATCAGTTCGCCAAATCAATTGCTGAAATGAAAAGGGATGTGCTACAGTGAGAGGCTGAATCGAATGCACATATACACTAGGAACGGTGATCTCATTGAAACACAAGTTAATAAGGGGGAATAGACACTCGGGTACTGTTTTCTGGAGAATAGACAATCAGTGTGCAGCCTTGGGTGAAGTGTAATGTCTTCCCTCAGAGGTATTATGAAGATTGCTGGATTTTTGCACTCGAAGAATTATTGGCTCAGGAAATAAGAACATATAGCTCTATAAAAGACATATCTTTCAGAGACACTTAACGTCCCAAGTTATAAGAAATTTTAGTAGAAACAGATTGGGTTTAAAAGGAGGTGGAATAGCACTCTTGGTCAAAAATAGAATCGCGTCCTTGAACAAGATTCATTCGAAAGAAGAACTAGATTCTACATGGGAGGTGCAAAACAGGAAGGGAGCAGTGATTTTGCTAGGTATTTTATAGATCTCCAAAATAAGGGGGAAGGAAACAGGAGAGCATTTGTAAGCAGATTATGGGAACCTGCAGGACAAGTAGGATTGGAGATGGTTGGAGATTTCAATTCCCCTTGGGCAGACTGGGAAAAGGGTAAAGCGTGGGGCAGGGAAGAGGAGAAATTCCTGCAACATATGCAGGTGAACTTTTTAGAGCAGTACGCTTCCAGTTCTCCTGGAGGGGAAGTTGTGCCGGATCTGGTCCTGGGAAATGAAGACGGCCCAGTGGAAAATTGGGAAATAGTGATCCTAATACAATAAAGTTCAATATTAAGTTGGAAAGGGACAAAAATCTATCAAGGATTAAGATCCCAGACTGGAAAAAGGACTGATTTGAGGTCTAAAAGTTGAACTGGAACTGATTGCTTAGAAACACATTTTGGTAGACAAAAAAAAAAGTGGATGAAAAATGTGAGACTTTGAAATGAGAGATGAATAGGATGTAAGCTAGGTACATACCCATGAGAAATGGATACAGAGTATCAAAGCTGGGAGTACCTTGGATACTGATGAGAAAACAAGGCAGAAAAGGGAGCATTATTCTTTCTATTCATTTGTGGGATGTGGGCGTCGCTGGCTGACCAGCACTTTTTGCCCATCCCTTGCTGCCCTTGAGGTGGTGGTGGTGAGCTGCCTTCTTGAACCGCTGCAATCCTCCTGCTGTGGGTTGACCCACAATGCTAATGATACATTCCAGAACAATAACAACAATAGAAATCCGGAAGAGAATCTCAAATACAGGAGAGAGCAAGCGAGCAAGCAGGGTTAAGGCTAGAATAAGGAAGGCTCAAACGAAGCATGAAGGATGGATGACAGGCTGCACTAAAACAAAATAGGTATATGCTCTTCAAACATTAAGAGGTAAAGCAAAGGATTGCTTGGGGCCCATATGGAACTGCTCACTAAGCAAAGGGAATGGCGCAAGTACTAAATGAGCAACAAAACAGAGTTCTGGAAAAGCTCAGGAGGTCTGGCAACATCAGTGAAGAGAAAGGGTCTCTGGACCCAACAGTAACTAATTTTTCTTCAGATCCTGCCAGACCTGCTGAGCTTCAAGCAACTTCTGTTTTTGTTTCTGATCTACAGTATCCACAATTCTTTCATTCAGTTTTTATTTAGTACTAAATGGACACTTGGTTTCGGTCTTCACCAGCCTAAAAAGTTGATGCCAATGGTCCAGTTGAAATTGTGGGTGTTGAGCAACTGAACAGTATAGCAAGGGAAAAGGTGGTGCTAAAAAGTCTGGCAGGACTCCAGATAGAGAGGTCACCAGACGCAGATGGGATGCATCCTAGGTTGTTGGGGGGGTGCAAATCAGAGTTAGAGAGAAATTTTCCAGACCCTCGTGAACACAGGATCTGAAAACTTCACACAACACTAGGTGCAGTGTCACTCATGCCTTGTAGCAAAACTTCCTAACTTTTATACTCTATTGCAAAATAAAGTATAAAATATCAAATTTCTATAGCTACTGGAAATCCCATCACTGAATGTGCTTTTTTTTCTTTATCTATTCTGCTTGTTATATCTGATAATTAAAAATTTTGACAGACGTGATTATCGTTTGACAAATCCTGGCTGTCACTGACCGACTTATGACTTGAGATATCTGACTTCCATCTTAATAGATTCTAGCATTTCCCCAATGACAGATGCTGGACGAACTGGCCTATACTTCCCACTTTCTCCCTCCCTTCTTCCCTGAAGGATGTCAAAATGTGCAGTTCTTCAATCTACTAGCACCTCTCCAGTATCTCAGGAATTTCGAAGATTGTAACCAGTGCATCCAAAAATCTCTGTAGTCACTTCCTTTCAGGCCCAGGATGTAGGCCAGCAGATTCAGGGACTTCAGTCCTCATATCTTTCATCCCCAGTATTTTTCCACTCAAGATCTTCTCTGATTATTCCTCCCATTTTGCCCGTCACTTCTATTTGCAGCATACTTTATATGTCTTCTCCTCTGAAGACGAATACAAAATGCTTGTTTTCCATTCCCGATCCTGCCCTACTTAAAGGAACCAACACTTACTTCAGCTGCTCTTTTTCCTACTGTATACACATAGAAGCTTTCAAAGTCATTTTGTTTCTTGCTCGTCTTAAAAATTTTCCCTCTTCATTTTTAGTAATCTTTGCACGTTTCTAAAAAAAATTCCCAATCTTCTGGATTACTAGTAACTTTAAGCATTGCACATTTTTTCCTTCAATTTGATACTAATTTAAACGTCCTTAGTTAGCCATGAATAGCACATCCTTCTATCTCTTTTAGTGGAAAAGTTGTTTGAGAGTTTGGAAGTATCTCCTAAAATGTCTGTCACTGCTTCACTACTATTTTATCTCTCAATCTAGTTTTCAATTTTACTTTAGTCATCCCTGCCTTCATTCCCTTACAATGTGTTTTGGGCATAGAACAGTACAGGCCCTTCAGCCCACAATGTTGTGCCAATCTATTATCCTACTAAGATCAATCTACCCTGCATACCCGACATTTCACTATCCTCCATGTGCCTATCCAAGAGTTGCTTAAAAGTGTCTAAAGTATCTGACTCCATTAACACTGCCAGCAGCGCATTCCACACACCCACCACTCTGAAGAACCTGCCTCTGACATCTCCCCTATACCGTCCTCTAATCACCTTAAAATTATGCCCCCTCGTAATAGTCATTTCTGCCCTGGGAAAAAGTATGACAGAAGGTTCAGCCTCAAACTGAATCTGAAATTGTATGTTTTAATTGCTCTCCGAGCTAATCTTTTTAAAAGAGATGGTGTTTGAGGAGGTAGATAATCAAATCAAGTCACCAAGGAGAATCATCCCACCGCTCCTCAAACTTAGAAATTTTTACATTTATCCGTGTGCACAAGAGACCTCAGTTTATCATCTCATTTAAGTGACAGAACTAAAACACTGCTTCAGTATGAAAATGAACATAAATAATCCTTATAACTACAGTGCATATCATAAATACAAATTTTGAATATATCCAGGTTGCATTTTTCTGTCTGACAAACCAAATTAAGCAGAAAACACGGCAAATAGCCTAATAATTCTGGTATGACTAATAGACCTAAATTTTAAAGGCAGAAATAAGAATATAATATCAAACTACACAGCTTTGGTGACAAGATGAAGATAAGAATTGAAGGTTAGCATTTTCATTGATAAAGAAATCAACATAACAGAAGACAATGTGAACCAAACTGCAGACTAGGCAGTGATGCAACAATGAATTATCACAGACAAATAAGAAAAATAAATACATCTAACCCTTAGAAAATGAGTGAGTGAATGGGATAGAAAACCAAGGCACTGAGGAATTCAAGTAAATAAATTATTAAAAAGACAGCATTGCAGGTCAGTAACTCAACTGTTGGCTACTAACACAAGGAAAACTAATTAGGAATTAGGAAAAACCGGATCTATTATTAATGTTCCAATTTTTCTTACCTTGTAAACATACAGGTATTCCCTAAGGAAAGCTTCCTGCTGAGCAGCTGTCTGCTTACTGTCATTGATCAAAATATGCCTGAAGGCTGACACTGCATTATCAAGCTGTCGCAGGGTAAAGGACTGGCGCCCAATTGTGAAGTTAATATGATCCTCTGCCAGACTCCATCCCTTGCCTTTGTAAACTTGCATGGCTTGGCTGTAACACCGCAAGGCATGCTTTCGCTGTAACAAAACAGGGAAAACAAAAAAATCAATTTGTTTCAGACTCGAATTTGAGAAAGCAGAACAAGTCTCCTGCTGAAGATTCAATTGTCACATGGAGGTTTTAATGTGCAATTTAGAAATTTTAAACTTACTGGAACTCTGCCCATTGTATAGATACGTTGAGGGGGTCAGTTAGAAAAGTTGGGTGAACAGCTGGTTTTCAATGCAGAGTGATTCCAACGTGGGTTCAATTCCTGCACCAGCTGAGGTTACCTCAAAAGGACTCTTCCCTTGCTGGTGGCATGGTGACCCTCAGGTTAAACAATAACCAGTCATTTCGCTCTAATGAGAGCAGCAGCCATAGGTTCTGGTCAGACTATGGCAACTTTTATCTTCTACTTGGAGATTAAAAATTGCATACGCTTGTCTCCAATATTTACATGATTCCTTACATATACACGGTACACATCAATTCTCAATATATATGAGCATATGAACAAGGAACAGTACTAGGCCACTGGGCCATTCAAGCCTGCTCCGCTATTCAATAAGATCACGGCTGATCTGTTTTTAACCTCAACTCTACGTTCCTGCATATCTTGATAATCTTTCATCTCTACGGTCGCCAAGAATCTACCTCGGCCTTAAAAATACCCAAAGATTTTGCATCTACTGCCATTTTGGGAAGGGAATTTCAAAGACACAACCTTCAGAAAATACTTTTCCTCATCTGTCTTAAATAGGCAACCCTTATTTAAGGGATGACCTCTTGACATAGATTCTCCCAGAGGAAACATGTTTTTGACTATTTTTTCCTATTCATTTGGGGGATGTGGGCGTCGCTGGCTGACCAGCATTTATTGCTTGTCCCTAGTTGCCCTTAAAGGTGGTGGTGAGCTGCCTTCTTGAACTGTTGCAGTCCTCCTGCTGTAGGTAGGCCCACAATGCTATTAGGGAGGGAATTCCAGGATTTTGACCCAACAGAGAAGGAACAGCGCTATATTTCCAAGTCAGAATGGGGAGTAGCTTGGAGGGAACTTCTAGGTGGTGGCGTTCCCATATGTCCGATGCCCTTGTCCTTCCAGATGGAAGTGGTCGTTGGTTTGGAAGGTGCTGTCTGAGGATCTTTGGTGAATTTCTGCCGTGCATCTTGCAGATAGTATACACTGCTGCTACTGAGCGGAGATGGAGGGAGTGGGTGTTTGTGGATGTGGTGCCAATCAAGCGGGCTGCTTTGTCCTGGGTGTTGTCAAGCTTCTTGATTGTTGTTGGGCCTGCACTCATCCAAACAAGTGGGGAGTATTCCATCACACTCCTGACTTGTGCCTTGTAGCCTATAATTCCCCATTTTCTCTCTCCTTTCTTAGAGGAGTTTTACATTAGCTACCCTCCAGTCTACAGAATGGTGGAAAACGATCACCAATACATCCGCTATTTCAAGGGCCACTTCCTCTCGTAGTCTGGGAGGCAGAGCATCAGGACTTGGGGACTTATCCCACCAATTTCCCCAACAGAATGATTTGAGTCAACTATAAATCATTTTATTGCAACATTTCCAATAACCTATTAACTTCCATCTTGAACTTATGCAACGATTGAGCCTCAAAAGAAAAACTTGGAGCACTCCACAGGTGTACACGTTCACTGTATAAATATATATACAGAAGTGCTGTATTTCAGAGGTAGCTCAAAACAAACGTTCGATAACTTCCCTGATAACACCCATTATAATATGATAGCTCCTGCTTACACAAAAGGTCCGTGTTACCTCTGGTCCTGATTATTCCAATGTTCTCCTGGATCAACCTCCCACATTCCACTTCTATAAGCTGGAGATCAAACAGAATTCTGCTGTCTGTGCCCTTACCAAGTCCCAATCACAATTACTTCTCTGCTCAATGACCTATAGTGGCTTCTAAATTGGTGTTGCCCATTCAACATAGTAAATTATTTTCAAATCCTTCTATGACTGAAATCTCCTCTAGCTTTACAATGGAGCTACCTTCATTCACTTAATTCTGACTTCTTGAGAATGTCCGATTTTAAATTACACCGTTGATGGGAATAGACATAAACACACAGGCCAGTTGCTCCGGAACTACTTCCCTAAATATTTTCCTCTCCATCATTTGGTTCTCCTCTAAGATGCTCCTTAAAACCTAAAGCCTTTGGATCAGACTTTTGGCTGAGAAATATACAACATTGGAGCAGGTGTAGACCATCTGGCACTTCAGGTTTGCTTCAGTGTGACCATAGCTACCTTAGTACCCTGTTCCAGTTTGCTCCTCATATCCTTGGATCTTTTTAGTCCTGAGAACTATATCTACATCTTTATCGAAAGCCTTCATTGTTTTGGCCTCAATAGTTTATTGTGGAAAGAATTCACTGGGTGAATCTCTGCTCTAATAGGCCTATCCCTTATCCTTCAAATGTGACCTCCAATTCTGGGCTCCCCAGTCTCAAGAACATCCACCCTGCACCTACCCTAACTAATCCCATTAGAATTTTAAGTTTCTACAGGATTTCTCCCCTTATTCTTTGAAACTCAAGTGAATATAAATCTTAAGCGATCCAGTGTCACCTTGTATGCAGGTCCTGCCATCCCAAAATTCAATTTGTACTCCCTCAATAGCCAGAATAAGGTGACCAAAACTACACACAATACTCCAGGTGTGGTCTTACCAATGGAGTACAATTGCAGCAAGACATCCCTGGTCCTGCACTCTAATCCTCTCACTATGAAATTAACATATGTGCCTAAGTCACCACGTATGGCACCTGCAGGTTCATTTTTGGCAACTGGTGTACCAGGACACCCAGGTCTTGTCGCACCTCCCACTTTCCCATTTCAGATAGGTATCTGCCATCCTGTTTTTGCTATCAAAATGGACAACCTTACATGGCATATGCCATATATTTGCAAAATTAATTGCCTCATGTGGCTTGCTTATCAACATTCCCATGACGCAACATGTAATAAAACATTCAATTAACTGCAAATAAACATAATTAATTGTATTTGTACCAATAGAGAATAAACAGTGGTTTATGTACAGTGATATAACGTGTTATAGACTGTCTTGACAACTACATGCATTAGCCATTAACTTCATAAAGCTCGCATTACGTACGAGGATGATTCAGAAGTTAAAGAGAGCAAGTTAATTGGACAAGGTAGGCAAGAGCAAGTCAGAGAACAAGGCAACTCTGAAATAAATGTAGTTTAATTCCTCAATGACAAGCAAGGCAGATGAACTCAGGGCATGTATGGGAACATGGGACTGGGACATCACAGATATTACAGAATGTGGGGAGGCGATGGCCTAGTGGTATTAAATTGCTGGACTGTTAATCCAGAGACCCAGATAACATTCTGGGGCCCGGGTTCGAATCCCACCACGGCAAATGGTGGAATTTGAATTCAGTAAATAACTGGAATTAAGAATCTAATGAATCTAATGATCACCAACTTGATAGAATTCTTGGAGGAAGTGACAAAGTTGATAGATGAGGGAAGAGCTGTAGAGGTCATATACATGGACTTCAGTAAGGCGTTTGATAAGGTTCCCCATGGTAGGCGGATGGAGAAAGTGAAGTCGCATGGAGTCCAGGGTGTACTAGCTAGATGGATAGAGAACTGGCTGGGCAACAGGAGACAGAAATTTGTGGTGGAAGGGAGTTTCTCAAAATGAAGAACTGTGACCAGTGGTGTTCCACAGGGATCAGTGTTGGGACCACTGTTGTTTGTGATATACATAAATGATCTGGAGGAAGGTATAGATGGTCTGATTAGCAAGTTTGCAGATGACACTAAGATTGGTGGAGTAGCAGATAGTGAAGGGGACTGTCTGAGAATGCAGCAAAATATTAGATAGATTGGAGAGTTGGGCAGAGAAATGGCAGATGGAGTTCAATCCAGGCAAATGCGAGGTGCTGCATTTTGGAAGATCCAATTCAAGAGCGAACTATACGGTAAATGGAAAGGCCCTGGGGAAAATTGATGCACCTGGAGATCTGGCTGTTCAGGTCCATTGTACCCTGAAGGTGGCAACACAAGTCGATAGAGTAGTCAAGAGGCATACGGCATGCTTTCATTCATCGGACAGGATGTTGAGTACAAGAGTTGTCAGGTCATGTTACAGTTGTATAGGACTTTGGTTTGATCACATTTGCAATACTGCTACAGTTCTGGTCGCCACATGACCACAAGGATGTGGATGCTTTGGAGAGAGTGCAAAGGAGGTTCACCAGGATGTTGTCTGGTATGGAGGGCACTAGCTATGAAGACAGGTCGAGTAGATTAGGATTATTTACATTAGAAAGACAGGAGGTTGAGGGGGGACCTGATTGAGGTCTACAAAATCATGAGAGGTACAGACAGGGTGGATAGCAAGAAGCTTTATCCCCCCAGAGTGGGGGACTCAATTATTAGGGGTCACGATTTCAAGGTGAGAGGGGAAAAATTTAAGGGCGATATGCGTGGAAAGTTCTTTACGCAGAGAGTGGTGGGTGCTGAGAATGCATTGCTAGCAGAGGTGGTAGAGGCAGGCACGATAGCGTCATTTAAGATGTATCTAGGCAGATACATAAATGGGAAGGGAGCAGAGGGAAAATAGGCGACAGGTTTAGAGGGGTTCTGGATCGGCACAGGCTTAGAGGGCCGAAGGGCCTGTTCCTGTGCTGCAATTTTCTTTGCTCTTTGATGACTATGAATCCATTGTCAATTGTCAGGAAAAATCCATCTAGTCCTCTAATGACCTTTTAGGGAAGGAAACTGGCATCCTTACCTGGTCTGGCCTACATGTGACTCCAAACCCACAGCAATGTGGTTGACTCTCAACTGCCTTCTGGGCAATTAGGGATGGGCAATAAATGCTGCCTAGCCAGAGAAGCCCCCATCCCGTAAATGAATAAAGAAATAAAAAACATGGCTGAGTGAGGGATAGGACTCGCAGCTCAGTGCTTGGGGGTTTAGATGCTACTAAAGGAAGGATGGAAAGGGAGGCAAAAAGGGGAGTGGGAGTGGTGTTTTTGATTAGGAAAAATATCATGGCAGTACTTAGAGCAGACATTTGAGGGTTCAGCCAATGAAGCTATACAGGTGGGATTCAGAAATAAGGGGATGATCACCATGGTAGGATTGGACTAAAGACCCACCAATAGTCAGCAGGAAACAGAGGAGCAAGTATGCAGAGAGATGTTCGATATGTGTAAAAATAACAATTGTAACAGTGGGGGATTTTAACTTTCCAACAATATGGCATTCCCTGTCTAAGTACTTGGATGGTGAGGAATTTGTTAAATGTGTTCAAGAAAATTTATCAATAACTTCTTTACCAATTAGGGAAGGAGCAAAAAAAAAAAAAACAGCCTTCTCTTGGGCAATAAGGCTGAGCAGATGACTGAGGTGTCAGTGGGGGAGCACTTAGGGACTAGTGATTATATTTCTTAGATTTAAAATAATTAAGGAAAAGTTCAGCCTTGCATCAAAGTTAAAGCTCTTAATGGAGTAAGGCCAATTTTAACAGTATGGCACAGGAACTTGCAAGAGTTGATTGGAGTCGACTGTTCACAGATAGAGACTGGCAAGTGGGAGGCTTTCAAAAGAGAGATAAAAGTGTTCAGAGGCAGTATGTTCCTGTTAAGGCAAGGCTGGTAGGAGTACAGAATATTGGATGAATAAACACATTAAGGCTCTGATCAATAGTAAAGAGAAGGCATGTGTTAAATATTGACAACTGGGACAGTGTGAATTTCTTGAAGAATATAAGAGGAGTAGGGGCATTCTTAGGGGGAAATCAGGAGGGCTAAAGGGGATAAGATAGCCTTGGCAGATAAAGGTGAAAGGATAATCTGAAGAGATTTTACAAGTACATTAAGAGCAAGAGAGCAAAGGAGGGAATAGGGCCCTTAAAGGCCAACAAAGGTCATCTGTATGTGGAACCACAGGAGAGGGGAGAGATACTAAACAAAATATTCACATCAATATTTACTGTGAAGACAAGGAAGCTACGGAGAAATAAGTAGTGATGTCTTCAAAACAGTCCACATTACAGAAGAGGTGGTGCTAGAGGTGTTTAAAAAAAAAACCAAGGTGGATAAATCTCCAGGATCTGATCAACCGTATCCCAGGACATTGAGAGAAGCTGGGAAGAAGTTGTGGGGCCCCTAGTATAGATATTTGTATTCTCTACAGCCACGGGTGAGGTGCCAGAGGACTGGAAGGCAGCTAATGTTGTGACTTGATTTAAGAAAGGCTGTAAGGAGAAGCCTGGCAACTACAGGCTGGTTGGTCTGAAAAACGTGGCAGCTAGCTTTTGGAGGAGATTCTTAGAGCTCGCATTTACACGCAGTTGGAGAGGCAAGGACTGATTAGGGATAGCCAGCATGGCTTTGTGCATGGGAATTTGTATCTCACAAACTTGATTCAACTTTTTTTTGAAAAAAGAATGTGACCAAAAAGACAGATGAGGGCAAAGCAACAGATGTTACCAATGTGGACTTCAGTAAAGGTCCCACATGGTAGACTGGTTAGTAAAAGTTAGATCATATGGGATTCAAGGAGAGAGTTTGCCAAATGGATACAAAATTGGCCGGACAGTAGGAGAAAGGTGGTGGTGGTGGTGGTGGAGGTGGAGGGTTGTTTTTCAGACTGGAGGCCTGTAACCAGCAGTGTTCCGCAGACATCGATGCTGGGTCCACTGTTATTTGTCATTTTTACAAATGATTTGAGAATTTAGGGAGCATGGTTAGTGAGTTCGCGGTATAGTGGACAACGAAGACAGATACTAAGATTACAAAGGGATCTTGATCATTTGGGCCAATGGACTAAGAGTGGCAGATGGAGTTTATCATAGAATGATGAATCCCTATAGTGTGGAAACAGGCCCTTCGGCCCAACAAGTCCACACCGACCGTCAGAGCATCCCACCCAGACCCATCCCCCTATTCTACACATCCCTGATCCCTATGGGCAATTTAGCATGGCTAATCCACCTAGCCTGCACATCTTTGGACTGTGGAAGGAAACCCACGCAGGCACGGGGAGAATGTGCAAACTCCACACAGACAGTCGCCCAATGGGTGGAATTGAACCCAGGCTCCTGGCGCTGTGAGGGAGCAGTGCTAACTACTGAGCCACCGTGCCACCCATGGCATGGTTTCATTTGAATAAATGTGAGATGTTGCATTTTGCTAAGACAAACAAGGCCGGGACTTGTACAGTTAATAGTAGGGCCCTGGCTAGTGTTGTCAAAGAGAACCTAGGGCTTCAGGTACATAGTTCATTCTAAGTGCGGTTGCACAGAACATTGAAGAGGCCAGATTTGGATTGGGTACAGTGTTCTGGTCACCCTGCAGTACGAAAGATATTATTAAATCAGACAGGGTTCAAAAAAAGATTTACCAGGACGTTGCTGGGACTGAAGGGTTTGAAACAGAATCCATACAGCATGGAAGCAGGCCATTTGGCCTATTGAGTACGCAAACCTCCGAACAACATCCCACCCAGACCTAGCCCCTCCACCCTATCCCTCTCACCTCTCATTTCCCATGGCTAATCCACCCAACCTACACATCCCTGGAAACTTTGGGCAATTTAGCACAGCCAGTCCACCCTAACCTGCATATCTTTGCACTGCGGGATGAAACCGGAGCACCCAGAGTAAACCCACGCAGACATGGGGAGAGAGTGTGCAAATTCCACATAGACAGTTACCCAAGGGTGGAATTGAACCTGGGGCCCTGGCGCTGAGGCAGCAGTGCTAACCACTGTACTACACCAGAGTTATAAGCAGAGGACGGGACTTTATTCACTGGAAAGTAGGATGTTAAGGGGTGACCTTAGAGGTTTATAAAATGGAGGGGCATAGATAAGGTGAACAACAAAAAGGTCTTTTCCGTCAAGGTAGGAGAGTTTAAAACTAGAGGGCATATTTTTAAGGTGGAGAGGAGAAAGATTTTAAAGAGGGACCTGAGGGGCAACTTGTTCGCACAGACGTTGGTTTATATGTGGAATGAATCACCAGAGGAAGTGGTGGATGTAGGGGTACAGTTACAACATTTAAAAGACGTTTGGATAGGTACATGAATAAGAAAGGTTGAGGGGGATATGGGCCAAATGCAGGCAAGTAGAACAAAGTTAAGTTGGGAAACTTGGTCAGCATGGATGAGTTGGTGTCGATGACATTTGGGAAATATTTTTAGATCGCAGGAAAGGAAGTCCAAACTAATACCACAACAAGACAATGAAGACGTTTCTTCCCATGCTTTTATTCTCATGTTATCTACAGATGCTTTGCATTCTACATCCTTCCATTAGGTTGCTGGCAGTCATCTGCTAATAACATTTTGTTACTAACTCAAGGCATAATTATTAGCACTACTCAAGTTAACAGAGAAATATTTAAAATTCCACGTGGCTTCACGGAGGCTCGAGTGACGGCCCCAGCCTGGGACAGTTAGTTAGCAAACCTCCAAACTGAAAAAAAGTGATATCCCATTTATAGCAGTTACGGGCAAGGTCTTAATTTTGGAAATTACTTTGTCAAATTGTACCTTGTACAGGTTCACAGATGATACAACTGTACATCAATGAAATAGTGTTAAAGAGGACAATCTACCCAAAAGTATTCATGGCAATAAATTTACTTGATGAAATTTTTAACTTAAGGAAAGATTCAGTCCCAAAAACGTGACCAGACCCTTTGAAACCTGAATGACAGGACTTCAAAATATTGTGACAAGAAAAAGGCTATCACACAGCCAAGCAGGGTTAATCAACTAAATGCATTAGCACATATACAGTATGTTAAAAAATTATTTAAATGCATTATTCAAGCACATGCTTACCTGATCTGCTTTAGCAAACCGATGCCCAGCCAGAATCATATGAAAAGCAAACTTGCGTACCATAGGCGTTCGCATGTTGATGAAGCAATGGGCAGCTTGTTCCAGTAAGAGAGCGCTTCGGAGGTCTGAATCCTGCATTTTGTTTTAAAATAAAAAAGGCGTGGGGTTTTCATGTTACTACAAATTGCAAAATTTATTTCAACACAATGCCACAAAGTCTAATATATTTGAAACTTTCTTTCTCAATTTAGCTTAGAAAGAAAAACAAAATAAAGGCTCAAAACTAAGTAACTATATCAATAATTCTGTGAAGGCACTCAAGTATATTTTACCTTCACTGTAAAATGAAAAAAAACAATGAACTGAAGAGATTCCACAGAGATAGTCTTTAATCACTATCCTTTCCTCTTTTGATCAAGTCATACGGGTAGAAATTTCATGTCCGTAGCTGGCGTGACCAACTCGAGCTGTCTGTTCACTTCAAGCAATTGCTTCAATACCCAGATATCATGCTCTGGCGGTGATAAACAAATGATAGACTTGGATTTGAAATTATACCTGAAGGCTTCAGTTGATGATCTGGTGAATCTTTTATTCATCCAAGTACCCCAACAACTTCGGCTCAGCCATATAAAACTGACCAGAATTTTTAGTTGTTTGTTCACGGGAGGTGGGTGCCATTGGCTAATGGGAGGTGAAGGCTGTAATAATTGTAAAAGCATATTTGACCTCTGTGGCTACAGGAATGTCAACTCAGATCTTGAGCTGCAGGGGCTGGCACAGCCGGTAGTGGCGGCAGCAATGGCAGGTTTTTAATGGGGAGGGGCTTTACTTGGATTCTGGGCTGTTCAGAATTCTAAGGAACAGAGGGATGAAGGTGCTCTAGTACAGTCACATGGAAGTAGTATGCAAGTATTGTCGGTGATTAAGGCAGCTAATGGGATGCTTTCCTTTCCTACAAGAGGAACTGAACAAAAGTAATGATTTTATGCTTGTATACAGGGCACATCTTGGATAAGACCACATCTTGAAAAGTGCAGAGTTTTGGGCTCCACATGTAAGGAAGGAGTTAAATGCAGTTTAGGCAGATCAGAGGATGCTTACTGGATTGATATCTGGCTTGTGCAGCACTTACTGTACACAAATATTGGGTAGGTTGGGTTTGTTTTCACTAGAATTTAGAAGATCAAGGATTAATTTGATACAATTTTGAAAATTCTATTGGATGTAGAATTGCCTACATCTGCTCTCAATTTGGATACTCACGTTGCCCCTCTAAGCGTCCTGGAGAAAGTCATGGTGCTTTTTTGAACCACTGACATCCGTAACATGTAGGATCACCTATAGAGCTGCAAGGAATGGAGTTACAGAATTCTTACCCAGTGACACTGAACGATCAGTGATAGGTTTCCAAAAATAATTTCTGCTTCTGACTTTATGGAGGGTTGGTGATTGAACATGATTGAGGCTAGAATACTACTGTAGGAGTTCCTCAGGGTATCATCTTTGCATGGAGATGGTTGACCTCCAACAACCGCAGGCACCTTTTGTTCTCAGTATGACTCCAACCAGCACAGGCAATTTCCATGCCCTGCACCCCCTGCCCCGATTCCACTGACTCTAGTTTTGCTAGGGCTCCTTGATGCCATACTTGTCAAACACTGCCTTGATAATCAAGTACAATCATTCTGACCTCACTTCTGAAATTGCTGTTTTATTCATGTTAGAGAGCAAGATTGTAATTAGGTGAGAAGTTGGATAGCCCCTGGGTAAACCCAAACCGAGCAGGGAGCAGATTATAATTTCATGACAAGTGCATGGCCAATGACCATTCCACTACTTTTGTAGAGATCAAGAGTAAACTGATAGTGTGTTATTAGCAGTGTTGGTTTTGTCCTGCTTTATGTAAACCAGACTTTTCTGGACAACTTTTCATGTTATGGCCAGTGAAGGTGCACTGGAACAGCTTGGTTAGAGGACAGCTAAATCGTGCAGTGTAACTCTTTGTTTTCTTTTGCCAAAAATGTTAGCATGGCCTACAGCCTTTGCAGTATCCAGTGTCTTTCTTTACATTACATGGCATGGATCAAATGGACTGAAGACCAGCACCTATGATGTTTCAGGCCTCAGGTAAAGACAAATGGATCATCCACTTCACACTTCTGGTTTAACATGGATGCAGATTCTTCAGCCTCATCTTTTGCATTGATGTCCCTCATCACAGAAGATGGGGATATCTGTGGAGCTCCAGTCACTTGTTGCCACTACCATTCATGACAGGATCTGACAGGACAGCAGATCTCTGTTCTAAGCTATTGGCTGAGGGATTTCTTAGCCCTATTTACTGCATGCTACGGCTGTTTCCTGCCAGAGAACAGGCCTGTGTTGCAGCTTCAGCACCTCATTTTTAGATACGCCTAGTGCTGCTCCTGATATGTCCTCCAGCACCTGTCACTGAACCAACATTAGATCGGCTGCCTTGATGTTAATGGTCAAGTCGAGATGGGCAAGGTCAAGAAATAACAAATTGTGGGTGAAGACAATTCTGCTGCTGACAGCCCACAGTGCCAAATGCATATCCTGTTTGGAGTTGGGAGATCTGCTCAAAGTCTGCCCCATTTAGCAGCGGTAGTACCACAACACTGCACAAAATAAATATTCTCAAAGTGAAGATGGGTCTCCACAAGGACAATGTAGTGGTCACTCCCACCAATAAAAGGTGGTGAACAGACATCAACAGGGAGACTGGCGAAAATAAGGTCAAGTATGTATTTCCCACTTCTGCTCTCAGAACCTTCCACAGATCCAGTCCAGCAGCTACGTCATTTAGGACTTGACTAGATTGGATTGGCAATGGTGCTAGGATGTCTCCACAGAGTACATTCTGCACCCTTTTCATCCTCAGAGCTTCCTCCAAATGGTCTTCAATATTGGTCACTGTTCAGTGTCATTGAGTGTAAAAATTTTTCCTCTGGAATCTCTGCATACACAGCTTGTTCAGAAAACAGCAGAGAAGTCTTCCAGTCCCTCTTTAATAGTACCATCAGGTTTACATTGGATTCACAACAGTGGATTTTCTTTTAAGAAACAGGAGAAGACAGCTGGTAGTTCCTCCCCTTGAACAGGCTGGTCACCAAGAACTCTAAAATCTTCAAAGCATAAACTGCTGCTTACTACCTGACAACTATAAACCCAGGCAGAGGGTCTTTAGTAAGCAAGTAGTTATGGCCAGATGTGTGACTACCAAGAAATGTATTGTTAAAACAAAATTTCTCTCTTGTCCTTTCATTCACTTCTTCCAAAAAGAAAAAAAAACAACCCAGGTATTAACAAACCTTCAAACCTAACTACGAAAATTAAATAGGAAGGCTGTATGCCTCATGGGAATAGAGAAACACCTCAAAATCAGAATCCAATATGTAGATTTATTGACACAAACCAAGATCTTAAAATGATGGTGTCAGCTTAGTCTTACAAGCAAGTGAAGCCATATCTAGTTCACATTTGTTCAAACAATTCCACCCTCGGGTGACTGCCTGTGTGGAGTTTGCACGTTCAGTGTCTGCATGGACTTCCTGTGTGCTCCAGTTTCCTCCCACAGTCCAAAGATGTGCAGATTGGCCACGCTAAATGCCCAGTGTTCAGTAGATTAGGTGGGTTATGAGGAATGGGTCTGGGTGGAATATCCAAGGGTCGGTGTGGACTTGTTGGGCCAAAGGGCCTGTTATCACACTATTGGGATTCTACGATCTATGATCTAATAAACACGCTGTGACGAGACAACAGAAAAAGATTAACCTCGATAAAGACAGTGAGGGAGTGGCACAAATTAAATTGATCTTCAAAGAGTTGCTGCTGATTTGAATAGCCTCCTTCTGGTTATACTATTCATCAAATTCATGGGGAAAGGGACTCAACATCACAGCTTTCAAACCTCATTCCAATGGCTAAAGTTTCAAGTGGCAAATATTAGCCAAAATAACCACTTCTAGATTATGAACACTCAAATGCCCAAGGCAAGAAACATTTACACAACTTGGAAAAGAAACTGGGAATGACAAATCAACTACAAAAGTTGAGCTTAACAAGCAGCAAGCACTGTAATAATCTGAGCATCCGATATGGTTGACAAAAGACTTGAGATAACCGAAGAATGCAACCAAAAAGGCTACGCCCCTAAATTGATGGAGACGGAAGCATATCGAAGCTGAACGAAAACCCTAAAATGGTAATGAATGATTCAGTGTTCTTTGAATTACAATTCAATTAACAAAGTGTTGCACTTCAATTATGTAGCAGCATAATGCACTAAATGGCACATGGACAAAATTCATAGATCATGTTTCCAACAGTTCATTTGGCTTACTTTTCACATCTCACTTATGCATCAATTATATAGGCAACGACTAGCTAATAATAACAGCCAATACAAAAAAATTAAAAAGAAATTGATTCTTAAAAAAAAATTCAGTTTCACTAAAAGCATTCCATCTGTGAAAGACTCCATTTTCAGAACATACAAAAACTTAATTGCAAAACCAACACCAAATACAAGGCATTTCAACTTTTCCTACCTCACTTGTCATCCGGATAAGCAGAGTTGCAGCCTCAGAATATTTGGCTTGACTTTTTAAAATTTCAGCACTTAGCAAAGTACACCTTTCAGCAAGTACCAAGTTCCTAAGATGGAATAAATACAAAGAAAAAATAAATTCCAAGTAAAATTTAATTAACCAAACCAAAATATTAAAATTTCTTGCAGCTCACAGCAACTGCTGAATTTCAGTAAGTAGTAATGAGCTTGATAATAACTAATCAGATGTACAAGACGGAAAAGCTCCACACCTAAATGTCCTTGAATAGTGTCTTATGCGGGATACTGCGACAGAACAAAAACCAAAAGTTGTTGAGCCAACATGGTCCATCAGAAAGCATGGTTGTTCTACCAAATAATTTCCTACTGCTAGACTAATTTCAGCAACAACTCAGACTGAATCTGCATCCAACTGCGCCATATTAGACTAACATTTACTGGTGTTAGAAAGTGAATCTTTACAGTCAAGCTACACTCCACACTGTTCCAATTTAACTAGTTTGTAACAGACAACTTGCACTCTTCCTCAATGTTAAATGCAACACCAATGAAGTCGAATGATCTAAAGTCACATCTCAAATTTTAAACATACAGCTACTTCTCCTTTTACGTGATAGTTGCGTTGAGGTTGGTTGCCTCGCCGAGCTGGTTTGTTGTTCCGCAGACGTTTCGTTACCCGTGCTTGGTAACATCCTCAGTGCAGCCTCTGATGAAGCGTCGGTGTGTTTTCCCGCCTGGCTTTTAAACTCTGGGGTCTGTTGCGATGGATTGCCTCACTTCCGGGTTTCCTCCGTAGTGTAATGTATATGGGGTCGCAACGGACCCCAGAGTTTAAAAACCAGGCGGGAAAACACACAGACGCTTCATCAGAGGCTGCACTGAGGGTGTTACCAAGCACGGTAATGAAACGTCTGCGGAATAACAAACCAGCTCCTCCGATGAAGCTTGGTTGTTCTACTCCACTCGGTATTCCTATGATCCGGTCTGATAAGTCAGGTTGTGTCATTTCCAGTTCTATTCTGCATGGGTTTGTATATAGGGTCTAATTCCACATTTATTGATTGCATTACGGTTTAAAAACCAGGCCTCTAGGAATCCCCCTGTCGTGGTTGGCTTGAGCTAGGATGGTCACATAGCCATCAGTTTAATTGGGACAATTATTCGGGGGGGGGGGCACTGAGATAAAGGGAAAGTTCGCCAAGTCGTTTTGCTGATAAGCTGGTGTTCATGTATCCTGATGGCTAGTTTCCTTCCGGTCTGGCCAAGGTAAATCTTTGTTGCAGTCATTGCAAGGTATTTTTAAACTACGTTGGTCTTTCATGTCATGGGTACGGGGTCTTTGGTCCTCGAGAGTGTTTGTCGTCGTGTGGCTATGGGTTTGTGCGCTACCACTTCTACAGCCACTAGGAATCATGGTAGTGCATTCACAAACATGTGGAATTAGACCCTATATACAAACCCATGCAGAATAGAACTGGAAATGACACAACCTGACTTAATAGACCAGATCATATAAATACCAAGCGGAGTAGAACAAAGTTTCAGACGCCACACTGATGTTAGCTAGCATGGTGACGAAACATCTGTACGATAACCAGCCAGCTCGGCGAACAAGTCAACGACCTCACCCACAACCCTTCACAAGAACCCTAAACAGAAAATCCTTCTCTATCCTGTCAAAATTGTTCACAATTTCGAACACCTCATTCTCCTTGGAGCAGAGAAGATTAAGTCCAATTTCTCCAATCTTTCCTGGTATCATAAAATAACTGGGGCTACAAGATACAAAAACAGCCAGTGTTAAACTGAAATAGAATCTTGGTTAGATAACACTTGTCATATCTCACATCGTGCAAAGGGTATTGAAGCACTGGGGAAAATACAGGAAAGATTTACAAGAACATGACATGAGGATGTAATGACTGAAAAGATTGACTAGGATGGGGTTCTTTATTTGGGGGAAGAGACGACAGAAGACCCAACAGAAGATTTTTTTTAAATTACAAGAAGTTAAACAGGTTGGATGCAGTGAAACTGTTTTCACTTGCAGATGAGTCCAGAAAAGGCACAGGAAGTGGTGAGCCTGTTGGCTTTGAAACTAAATAGCAATGATACTTTTAAATGGGAAGCTTGAAACACACGAGGTAGGAGGAAAAAAAAAAAAAAAAAAAAAAAAAGAGAGAGAGAGATGCAAGCGATGGCTGGGGCTGTTTTTAGGGCAAGCAGAAAAACTCTTGTAGAATATAAATACTGCCATAACCAGTTCACTCAAATAGCCTGCAGATTTTATGCAGTTCCACACTAGCACTCCCATCCACAACCTTACTAATCCTAATTGTAACTGTATTCAGTCTACCAAATATTCAAACAAATTAAAATGTAATAGTTATTTAATCTACTAACGACAAAAACATACTTTGCGTTGATTTCGAACACTTCTTACCCAAGCAAATTATTCAATTTGGGTTCACGTATGCAGCACTAACCTTTTCTACAGCCGAGACCTAAAATTAAAGTTTTATCCTCCCCTCCAATGAATGAATAAAAAAGCCAAATTCTCTCCTCTCTCCAAAGGACTGATGCACAGTAAAACTCAAATGACCCAAAACTAATTTTCATTCCAATCTTCATTCAATCAACTCATGTCAAATAAGAACCTCTGCAAACAGCGCATTTGACAAGGGGTCAGGTGCATAGCAACAGCAGCCAATTCCAAACCAATTCAACATTTACAACAAGTTCACACAAAGGGTTAGTAGAGAGTTTGAGCGCTGCAACCCCAACTAATAATTCTTCATTAGTCCATGAGCATGGAAGTCACTGCAGCAACACAATTAAAACAAACTCAACCAAAACTTGGAATTAAATATGGAATCTTTCATTGAAGCCTCAGTTTCACATTGGGCTGTGCACAAATAAAGTTTTTATGTTCCTTTCCATAAGAAGGAAGCTTGCGTGCATCTGTTCTATATCCTTCATAGATTCAATGTCCTTCCACTGGCACTGATCCTATATAGACTCAAGTCTTAACTACATGGGCTCATTATTACTTTTAAGCATTTGTGTGTATGAATATACTTAAATTATAACCATAGCAATTCACTGCTACCTGAAAAATCTACAGCCCCTTTAATTTCAATATTTCATGAGAAAACAAAACCAACTATAATTACATCATTTTCTCAGCACGACAGAAGTCATAATCCTCAAAAGAATCCTTAAACCTTAAAACCGTCTGCTTCATTGTCATCTCTTTGCACGCAGCTGAGAAATTCATAATAATGTAACAACTGAAGTCCCATTCTGCAAGATCAGTCCTCTTTGACACTTGCTTAAGCCCCCAACTCCTCCTCCCATTCTCCTGAAGGAAGGGCTTCACACCAAACACAGAAATGGCTCCTAGCCTTAAAACAGCCGCAAATCAGTGCAGTATTAGAAATTCCACTTCCTTCCCAACTTGTGTTAATTCCCAAGTGACTTGACCAAGATGCCACATACTTGCAGAGATCCTTGTACGTCTGAATAGCTGTCTCCATGTAATGGCTGGGATACTGCCTCTGTGCTCCCGACTGAAGAAAAACTGATGCTGCTGCCATTTCCTTTGATGTTAAAATTTCACAAAAAGGAAGCATTATTCATGTAGTACTATAACATCCAGCATTTCTACAAAGCAACTTGACAATATATACTTCAAAATTAGGTTTTAAAGGCAATATCCTATATACATTGAGATGGAGTAAAAATATGCAACTAAATAGAAAACTCACATGCAATATCAATATTATTTAGGCAACTATAGTTGTTTGGTTGTAGTGTTGAGAAAGACATGGTTCAAGCTTTTCATTTTGCAATCATTATCAGGAAGGTTCACCAGAAACCAGGTATAAAGTGTACACGTTCTTTATATCCAAAAACAATAGGATCATGTCTTCTAACATGTAGCTTCCAGTATACACTGGTGTGTCACAGTACGAGTCCAACAATCTTAAAGCAGTTAATTATTCTGAGCACACAATCAACAAATACTGTCCCATCACAGAATCACAAACTGCACACTAGTCTGACTCGAGAGCATGGGACAGTTGGATACAGTCAGTACCTTGCTTGTCACAAACAAAAAGGATACATTGTTTGATACATCCCGAGCAGTGGTGAATCATATGGCCTACAGACTGAGCATCAGACAATTATTAATTTACAATGGTATGGCAGTTACAGTCAATTTAACTGGAGCATTCTCCAAAGCAACATTTCTACCTTGCCAATGAATGACCACTTATTGTATACAGCATAAAATGCTGCTCCGCTTTATATTGCTATCTTTACGAATGTTCGGATGAATGCAATACAAAAAGCTTTGACAAAAACATTTTTCCACCAATACTCAAAATAATGATGTTCAAATGTACCACCATGAAGGATTGTGACCACTAAATTAATCAGACATTCTATTCAGTGTTCTCCAAAAGAAAGGCAAAATTATAATTAGTGACTAAATGCCAGAGCTTCAAAAAAAAAGGTAAATTGCCCATGGTTACAAGATTAAAGCGACTATTAAAAAAAGGTATCCCATGCAAGACATGAGATTCAACTCTATCCTGGTCCACTTAAGTACACAGAATAACTTTCTCACAGAACAACATATCCAAGAAAGAGGTCATTTACCCCATGTCAGATGAGAGCAATTTAACAACCAATGGTCTTGAAGACAGGTCAGCACTGATGTTATGGAACACAGAGCTGACAAGACACCCTGGTTACCCACTGCATCCAGATCCAACACCAGCCATTTAGACTAGCCTTACTACAAGATCAAGATAGGTCAGAAAGTAAGGCTAACTATGTAACGTGTTGTCACTCTAATCTAATTCACACACAAGTCAAGTTCATCACCTTTCTAACATGTTACCAATTACCAATTATCCAGAGGTAACGGGCAAGCCACATAGCAGGTGGTGTGGATTCATTGGGAGCTGTAGCCAGGAACCTGTGCCTAACCAGTCAAACCATGGGAACATAGTAATTGGAGGATGGTGGTGAACCTGGCAGCACTCAAATGGCTGAACACTCCCTTTCAAGGTTAAGAGTTAGAAACGTTTCCATCATCTTCCTGGCCAGCAGGACGCAACTGGCAGGGATCCCATCTACACAGACAAGCCAATCTCAAAAAACAAAGCAAGACTGACATGAGTCACCATTGGCACATGGATTCTGTACATCCTCCTGGAACATGCCACAGTCAGCAGACCTGATATGCTTAGCATTAGATAGCCAGGCAGTTACAACAGTCAGATTGCTACCCTGAGCAAGAATCATCTACCCAAGGAGAGGTACAGGTGGCATGGAAGCTGTGGTTAGCACCATTGTCTCTGCACCAGGGACCCAGGTTCGATTCCACCCTGCAGCAGCTATTTGCGTGAAGTTTGCACATTCTCTCCATGTCTGCGTGGGTTTCTTCTAGGAGCTCCAGTTTCTTCCCACTGTCCAAAGACATGCAGGCTAGGTGGACGAGCCATGGTAAGTAGAGATAGATTTCAGGAAGGTCTGGGTGGGATGGTCTTTAGAGGGTAAGTGTGGACTCAAATGACCTGCGTCCACACTGGAGGGAATTCTATGATTCTAAGTTCTGTGCAATGAACCTAAACAAAAAATAAAACCCACAAGACACACCTGTGTTTCCTTCCATACATTGTTCGAGTTCTCTCAGATGTTGCAGTACAGGAGCAAATGCACAACAGAAAACTATTTATTTACATGTTTCTTATGTTGACAACCAAAGGAAACAGGCTTAAAATCGAGAGTGTTGCCCAACGTAAGAGGCAAATTCCTTTCTGATGCGCTTTTGTTTCCTTTCATGGAGATGATGAGTTGGCAGAAGGTAACTATGACTAGACTGTACAGAACTACTATAGAGCAGAAAAAAAAACGTACTAGAATGGTTTCTTGGATGAGGGACTTTAGTTATGTTGACAGGTTGGAGAAGCTGGAGGCCACTCTTATTCAGACAAAATTACTAAGTCAAAATTATGATGGGTCTAAACAGAGTAAACAGCAAGAAACTGCACCCTTTAGTAGCAGGGGCAAGAATCAGAGTTAAGATGAAAAGACGACAGACAGTAGAACTAATAGTGATGAGGTTTTTTTTTAAATCTAGAAAAAGTAGTGAATGGTTAAGATCTAGGATGTGCTACCTCAGCTTGTGGTGGAGGAAGATTGGAGTTAGGTAACTGTTTGAAAAAAAAAGGAAGAGGCATTTTGATGACCAGATAATAGAGATTACTCCACTGCTCTAGAAGCTCTTGGTTTGACTACCACTGAGGTTGGTTTTAAAAACCAAGGAATTGGAACAACAAAAATATCAGCCTCTGTAGGGTTTTCCTCAAAATTACAAGTAATCACAATACACTACATACTGAAACATCTGCAGGACTGCCCAATGCAAGCTCAAGACACCAGACTGAAATCAGAGCTAAAGGACAACTTCAGTTATACATAGATTGCAAAGATTTGAGGAGATATCGGATATGGGGAGGCATTTGCCTCATGATATTACCAGTGGACTATTAATCCAAAGACCCAGGTAACCTTCTGGGGACGCAGATTCGAATCATGCGATGGCAGTTGGTAGAATTTAAATTCAAAAAATATCTGGAATTAGAGTCTAATGATGACCATGAATCCATTGTCGATTTTTGGAAAAACTCACCTGGTTCACTAATATCCTTTAGGGAAGGGAACTGCCATTCTACCTCATCTGGCCTACATGTCACTTTGGACCACAGCAATGTGGTTGACTCAACTGCCCTGTGAGCAATTCAAAATTGACAATAAGTGTTGACCGAGCCAATGAAACCCACATCCCATGAATGAATTTAGAAGGTCCTTCTCTGGAACCAAATCAAAGCAAATATTTTTAAAACCTGGCTATTTTCTGGCTTTGCTCAAAATTCCTCTTGCTTTAACAATTCTGCTTTTATGAACGTATGCAAGATATGGCAGCAAAGTTCTTACTGTTCCTTTTGTTGGGTTGGAACTCGTTTCTCTCCCCAACCTATACTCGAGCTGACTTAAACTCTTCCCACTTCTTCCTATAAAGATATAATTTGCTACAACTATTCCTTTAGCTCCATTCGTTTCTACTCATCTGTGGCATCCTAAAATATACATGCACGTCGTTGAAATCTTGGAGTAACTGCACAATTGTACGTACCAACTTCCACCACTTCATCAAATCAATGGTCCCTGATGTGGCTAAAAACATGCCCTAATTGAATCTAGTATTTTAATTTCTGAATTGACTTGTTCTGTTTTTATAAATACTCCTGAAGTCTCATCACTTTGTGAAAAGCTCAAAGATGACAAGAAGTTTGAAGCGGTTAGCCAAAATCAGATGGGCTCAAGGAGAGGAGTTAAGAAACTGAAAGTAATTCAAACAGATCAAAGGACAACAAAAATACAAAAGAGAGTTACAGAAATAGGTCATTAATGCTAAACAATAGCAGCAGTTTAAACCACCAATAAAAAAAACAAGGACTTTGTTAAAACCACACTTCACTGTTTTGAGCAAATAAAATTAAAGGATACAGAGCAACAGCCTCAACATAAATCAGAAGGGTAACTCAGCTAAGTCACATTTGAACTAGTGACTTCAGTTTAATCTCCAGATTAGCAAGATGATATAGGAATATTAGAGGGCATCTAGAAGTCGTCCAAGGTTGATTTCTGAATAAAGAGGACCAAATTAAGCAAATTAATGAACAAACAGCTTCCATTGAGTTTTCATTATTTGGAGAGCAGGATAATCAGGGAGAAAAGAACACAGATTATAAATTCAACAGATCAAGAATTCTAATTCAGAAATTTTCTTTTCAGCACAAGATTGCAGAACATATACCTCATTTTAGAATTGAAGGTGTCATAAGAATACAAGTTTAAGCAACATTTGCCTTAAGAGGGTAAGACATTTGTAATATTGATTAAGTGTTCATCCAGGACTGGATGCACCTTTGCTACTTCGAAAAACAGTAAAGGTTTGGAAGGTCCAAAATATGGCAATCAATTCAATAGTAGCTTTTAAAAGGTAATCTGAAGAACACCTGAAGGATTGCAGAGATATGACACTACTTGAATGGGTCTTCAAAAAGAGCTGACACGTGCTTGAGCTATCAGTTGGCCTCCTGGTGTTTTACTATTCCATAATTCTTTACATCTTACATTGGAATTCTTCCAAAGTGCTATCCAATAGGCAAAAAGAGTCCAACCATGCACTTTTTAAAATTCTTTTGTGTAACATGTACATTGTCAGTTAGACCAACATTTGTTAACCATCTTGATTGCTTAAGATGATGACGAGTTATCTCCCTGAATCCCTGAAGTTCCTGGGGTGTACTCAGTGCCATTAGGAAGAAAGTTCCAGGATTTTGACCCAGTGATACTGAAGGAATGGCAATGTATTTCCAAGTCAGAATGGCATGGGGTTTGGAAGGGAACTTTCAGGTGGTAATCCCATGCATCAGCTGCCCTTGTTATTCTAGACACGAGAGATCACAGATTTGAAACGTGCTGTTGAAGGAGCTTTGATGAGTTACTGCGGTTCACACTGCTGCTACTACTGTGCATCAGTGGTGGAGGGAATGAATGTTTGTGGGGGTGGTGCCAGACAAGCGGGTTTAATCCTGGATGGTGTAGAGCTTGAGGTGTGAGCTGCACACATCCAGGCAAGACGATAAATTTCTTTCATACCCCTGACTTGTACCTTGTAGCTGGGGCACAGACAGCGGGGAAAACAGGAAGTAAATTAACCACTGCAGAATTCCCAGACACTCTATACACCTGGCCCAGTCTAGATTTCAGTCAATGATAACGGCTGGTGTGCTACCATAATGCCATTGAACATCAAAGGAGATGGGACTAGAAACCTTTTCACTCGGTGGTGGGAATCTGGAACACTGCCTGCAAGGGAAGTAGAAATCCTCCTAACATTTTAAGCAGTATTTAAACGTGCACTTACAATGTCAAGTCAGACAAGGTTATGGGCCAAGTACCGGAAAGCTGGATTACAGTAGTTAGGTGGTTGCTTTTGATCAGCGTGGACATGGGTTGAAAGGCCTTCATCTATGCTGCAGATTGCCATAACTCAGATGGTTCAGCTCTCTTTCGTGGGAAATTAAGCACTTTATAGTCATGGCTTTGACTTTGTTTTTGTATATTCACTAAATTTGCTTGCTTATGGCTTCAAGCTGGAAGAACTTTAAGTTGTAAACATGAAAAATACATCTGCTCAATCCCACTGTGAAATCTGCTAGTAGTTAACGTGACACCGTGGTTTAAACCCACTATGAGCAACTTCAGCTGTAATTTTCTTTTAAAAACAAAAAAGGAAATTTAACAGTTTGGCAGAAGTATTTGCTAAACACATGGCTGCTGCACAAAGTCTTATTGATGTTCCCTTGGTGGGGGCAAGGCCAGGATAAAGAGAAGCTGTGGAAAAGATAAGAGGCACAGACACATACTCACTCCTTGAAATCAATATGTATCTTTCAGTATGAAGATACATCAGTATATAATATTCAAAACATGGTACATATTCTCAACATTCAGTTATCCTATCCTAACCTAATGGTTAAATCATTTGGGTAATTAAGAACTAACCAATGCCCCTGCAGCATACAGCATTGCTTGATCGTTGAGGAAATCTTTCTTTGCTGTATGGTAGCAGCTGTAAGCCAGGTCATAATGTTGAACCAAGAAACACAGATCGGCCATTTTTCTTATCTGCAGCTCTGGAGCTTCCGGTGGATACCTGATGAAGATCAAGCAGAATCCAAAGTCAGCAGCCAAAACTCAGCACTCTAGATTGTTGCAAGTGTCAAATTCAGCTGTGGCAATTTACAGTGCTCCGCAGGTACACCAGTGTGGAGTATTTCTTTCTTCACTCGTAAAAACAAGGCTCTCTCATTTCCCAGGAAGGTGGCTCAGTTTTGATTCAGAACCAAATCAGTGTACTCAAACATACCCAAAAAGCAGATTATATGGTTAGCTCTGGAAAACTCTTCTCTTTCATAAAGAGAATAAGTTTAAGCCTACAATAGTTATTATTTATCGCCTTGGCATTCAACATAGCTAATTTTGAACAGATTATCAGAAAGATCCAACCCAAAAATTAAATCAATCTTCGCAAACTTGGTTGTACTTGTTTCTTAAAATGGAAGATGTCTTTCCAGCCAGACTTCTCATTTTCATTTCCTCCCCTCAACCTCATTGAAGGTTGTGACCCTTCAATTTCTTGCCCTAATGTAACAAAATTAGTCTCCAGCCCTCTCTGGTATCCTTCTCATTTTAAGTCACTGCTAATCTTTATCACAAAATATTTTCTCCAACAGAACCTCAAATCAAAACCATACTAAGCCAATTCTAAACTCTTCCTTTCACTATAAAGTTTTGAATTTGCATAATGATATAATTTGTAGTTGTTTTTTAAAAATTCAAACTGAAAATTTTTGCCAAAAATACTTACAATATACTGCTGGCGTTTTTAAGTTCAGTTAAGGTTTTCTCTGGTACCTTACTCCCACTGAACCATTTTTTTGTAGCAGTGAACAAAGAGCGACTGAGACCTTTTCTGGATACAAGCTGCAGAAACAAAAAGTACATACCAGAGGTTTTAGAAGAGATGGACTGTTTTAACAATTTGCAAATTGAGTAAAGCATCAATTTAGGCCTCGACAATTCAAAAGGCAAAAATTTTATAAACAAATCATTGCAGGATGATGTGACAGAACTAAAAATATGCCCTTTAAACCAACAAACCCTCAAATCTGCACTTGTGGCCTTGCAATTGAGTTGATATCATTCAGGCAGCCCACAAGTAATCCTTTTTGGAGACTGCGCAGTGGCAAAAAAAAAAACATTGCAACAATAGGTCTCAAAATAAATGGAGGAATCATTGCCTCGAGTGTTAATTATAAAATTGACATCACTGGCACTAACAACCATTTGGAGATCGGTTTAAGCAGGAAACCTTCATGGCTTGCATGCTGTTCCAGACCTCCTCTTTTCAAAAAAGAAGTGCATTTCAAACAAGTACCAAATAAATTAAATGGAACATTAGATTAACGCAGCATCAGATAGCACACTGGCAATAAATTGAAACCTTGTTCTTTTCAGAGATGTATGCCCATTTCTCAACATTATCCATTATGAAAATACTATTTCTCAATCAGAAACACATGATACAATTAGCTCCAGAAAAAGGTGTTGGACAGCCGTATCTCAATACATCAGGCTAGTTCCAAAGGCATCAGAACATTGCATAAAAGCATTGTATCAAGTTTCTTTTCAAAAAAGGTCCCATTGGGGAAAAAAAAAAGCAGTTGACCAGCATTACCTGTTCTACACATTTTACAGCCTCTTTGCTCCTTTGCCCATTTAAGAAAATGTTGGAAAAGAGAAATAGTAACAGCAGAATGCTAATTACGATCAGCCAAGAGACAATTTACTAACTGTAACCAACCAGCACTTGTGAACTGTAGCCAACATTTTGATGACATTCACTGACAGTCACTTTGGGATTATCAGTTGGCCTTGCACTTCTCCAGTGAAAGTTCCATATGAATAAACAGGGCTCTGTTCTTTGCATACGTAAAGAGCACAGATATATATTACTTTGTGGAGTTGAAACAGGTGTACATCATTTCCTGGTTCATTCCTCAAGCCAATTATCTGATGATCTTCAAAATTCAAAGATTGGTCAACCATTATTAACTGCAAGCTCTATGGCATGCCTCCACCAGAATCCATCTGCCAATCAATCAGCACTCTCCACTCAGCATAAATGTTGGCATTCTGCTAAAGTTGGTATTCTTACAAATTGTCCTGACGAGTGCAAAAAGCTTTGATAAAGTGTGTCATTTTCCAACAATGTATAGGTAGTAATCCCAATATTCTAAGCTAACGCCCATTAAAAATGAAATAAGGGCAACAAGCTTAAGTTTTTAAAATAAATGCAATCAGCTGAACAAGATTTTTAATCTCAAAAAAATTGCAGTACAGTTTTGTTCAGTCTCTTGCTCCGTAAATTCATTTTTTTAAGCTGCTTTCAGTTTACTATGGCAGTATATCACATTGGCATGTTGTGGTACTTCACATTCTGTGTCACAGATTAAGTCAGCATTAGCCAGTAATTCAACATGCCAATTTTCAAACTCCGCTAACTTGAAAGGCTTCTCAATAGGAAGAAATGAAGGTGAAATCTATTGAGAGGCTTGGGGAGGTAGTCATCATCTTCAGATCACCACGACGAGAACGTGAATCGGATTTCAAGTTTAAAAGCACTAGGAGTCAGAGGAATATCCATTTCAGCTTATTTAATAATTTCATCTCAATTTTCAAAGGCAAAACATTTGGGGTGATAACAAGAAAATCCACAACTTATGTAGCATCTCAGCCTCAGACTTCCCAAAAGGTTTTATAGCAAAAATCAGTAATAGGGTTAAAACTTTGGAAATCCATTGCTCACAGCACTCTGCATGTATTACTGCAATGTAGACTGCAGCAGTTTGATTAGACTGCTCACCATCACCAAGGAGGGTTAGGGATGGGAAACAAATCACATCCACATCTTGCGAATAAATTTAAAAAAAAAAAAGGTGCTTTTGAATCTATTTTTCACTGTTTTGAAGGGTGACATTCAGACAATAAGCACAGTAAGCTCCCATAAATGCAATAAAATAACGATCAGGTGATGCTCGAGAAAAAAACCTGAAAGAACTGCGGATGATGTAAATCAGAATCAAAACCAGAAGTTACTGGAAAAGCTCAGGAGGTCTGGCAATATCTGTGAAGAGAAATCAGAACATTTCAGAACCTGTATTCTGAGGAAGGGTCACTCAACCTGAAACATTAACTCCTATTTCTCTCCACAGATGCTGCCAGACCTGATGCTTCTTGAGGTTAATGGAGTACAAATATTAATGGGAACTTCATGAAGGAGAACTTCTTTGCTCTTCCGCAAAGTGTTTTAAAATCTTTCATATTTACCTGAAAATGCTGCTGAGAACTTGGATTCACGTTTTATTCAGCATACAGCATGTCTGATGTAATACTGAAAGAAATGCCTCGATTAACTGCTCAAGAGTCCAAAGGACTTGAACCTTCCACCTTGCAACAAAGTCAAGTGAAGACTCAAAAATCCAACCTTTGCAGTTTTAACTGAATGTATTCAAGATAACAGCAGCACAAGTTTGATAAGCGCTAAAATGCACTGTGTCCTAGAGAGGACACAGATACACAACAAAATTATGCTGCAGTGCTATTCACAAAAAAGATTACAGGTACACTTGCATTCTGGAGAAACACAAATATTGGACAAGGTAGAAAGTAACAAAAAGATGACAATTCTTACAGTAACTTCACACCAGGTCCCTACCCAACAATTGGCAGTTTGCACTGAAACAGAACATTTACAGCACTTAATGAAGTCATTCAGCACATTCTGTCAACCAAAACAGCTATCTTGCCTAACCTTCCTTTATAGTGGCTGATTGGATCAGACAAGAAAGAAGTCACCAGGTTCATTTAGCAGTGGGACTAAACTAGAGGGAAAATAAGTTGTGAATCATTTGCTGACAGTAATCTGCATTTGTACAAGAGCATAAACAGATCTTATTGGCCCGAATGTCTAACTAAGCACTGGCCCTATAAACTGCAGCAGTTTTATATTGGTCCTAAAAAGGAAGATGGTGTATTTAATTCACTACACTGAAGATGCATGAACTATGCATTCGAGAACAGGTTCAGTGTGACACAGCCACAGTGATGACGGAATTACACACATTTCTCAGGCTCAGGTTTGAACCCAGTTCCAATTTCACTAGCCTAGCAATTTGGAAGAAAGCCTATTCCTCACGGGTGAATTTAAAGCTTTTCAATATTGAAGTAGCAGCTTCACTTAAACATTCAACAGGTCACAAACAATCACCACTTAAAAACTGAAGCTTACAAATATTTAATTGTGTGCACATAAGTGGATACTACATCATGGGAGCCACCCCCTAGGAGTGGAGGAGTTCAAAACAAGGGGACATATTTCAAAGGTGAGAGGAGATAGATTTAAAAGGGACCTGAGGGGCAAGTTTTTCACACACCAAAGGTGGTTCATACGTGGAATGAACTGCCTGAGGTAGGTGATAGATGCAGATACAGTTACAACGTTTAAAAAATATTTGGACAGCTACATGAATAGGAAAGGTATAGAGGGATATGGGCCAAGCACAAACAAGTGTGACTAGTTTAGTTTGGGAAACTTGGTCAGCATGGACAAGTTGGAGTGAAGAGTCTATTTCTGTGCTGTCTGACTGACACTGGGCAGGGCTACTTATGTATTAATGGAGCTGTGTACTTAGAAAATAACATTTACATCACACAAAACACAGTTTCATTGAAGTGGTCAATGACGTGTAGATAGAGCTAAGAAACAGAACAACGATCTAACTCAATGGCAGAATGGGCTCAAGGGGTTGAATGACCCATGTAGCACGTTTGTTCCAATTAACAAATTAAAGGAACAGCTTCGTTTATTTTTTTAGCACAGTACGGAAGCCTCCTTCCTTGCCTTGCTCCTTAGGTGCTGCTGGTGGTGCCTCCCAAGTTGTATAAACAATTGTCTTTCTAATGGAGAGATGCGCTTGCAGTTCAAGTGGCCTACAGCTAATCATGTTGCCATCAAATCAACATATTGCTTGAATTTTGAGTTTTTGAAATTGTGAAGAGCTTGGCTCAGACTTAAATTCATGAAGCAACCACGAGCAGCAGAGGGCTTTTGCACCACCTAGTGACTGCAAGTTATTACTACAAGACGCTCAATGCAAAATTAACATTGAAAAATGTTTTTCAACAAAGAATTTTTCACCACAGTAAAGTTAACAAGCATGGAAAGCTATGCTTCATGTGAATTAACACAGCTAAGCCAATGAAGCTTGAAGTAAGAGTCAGTTCTGGTATGTGGACAGACCCTGCGCTGTGTCAGGTTTTGCACCAAACTGTGGTTTTAAGAATGCTACATTTGATTTACAAGGCAGACTAGCTCAAATTAATTGTAATCTTAACTTTTCTCTTTCCCCCTGCCTTTGCATTACATCAGATCCCTATATCCTTTGAGCCCTTTAGCTCCAACTGCTATAAAAAGCTCTCTCAAAACCAATGTTTTGGTCTTGACTGCTTTCTGTGGCAGAGAATTTCACAGTTTCACCACTCTCTGGGGAAATAGTTTATACTCCAGACACTTAGATTTTGACCCATAGTTCTGGTCATCAAGAACATGCTCAGTGCTTCTACCCATCTAACCCTGTTAGAATTTTATACATGAGATTTTCCTCATTTTTCCAAGCTCCAGGAAATATAATCCTAACATATTCAATCTCTCTTCATACGTCAGGCATGCCATCCCAATCAATCAATCAATCAGGTAAACCTTTGCTGTGCTCCCTCTAGAGCAAGAGCATCATTCCTCAGAGAAGGAGGCCAAAACAATATTCCAGGTGCGGTCTCAACATACCCTGTAATTGCAGCAAGGCATCTCTGCTCCTATTCTCTCATCCTTTCACTTTCAAGGCCAACACATTGTCCTTCTTGACCGCCTGCCGTACTTACGATTGGCATAGAAGGACACCCAGGTCCTGTTGCGCATTCCCCTCTCAATTTATAGCAATAATCCATCTTCCTGTTTTTGCACCCCAAGTGCAGAACGTCACATTTATCTATGTACTGCTGTATCTGCCATGTTTGCCCACTCACTCAGCTTGTCCAAACCACATCCTTCTCATATCTCACCCTCCCACCAGGCTTTTATGTCTCTTACAAATTGGGAGATATTCCATTTCATTCCCTCATCGAAGTCAGCTATGTTGAGAGTGACTGGGCTCTAAGCACTGATCCCTGCAGTACCCCAGTAGTTAGCAGATGCCATTCAGAAAGAGGCCCATTTATTCCTAAATAAAATACCAAAGAACTGCAGATGCTGGCAATCAGAAATTGCTGGATAAACTGGCAGCATCTACAGAGAAAAAGCAGAGTTAACGTTTCGGTCCAGCGACCTTTTTTCAGAACTGATTCTAGCTAGGAAATGGTTGGTATGATGCTAGATAAGGGGTGCGGGTGTGGAGAAGGACTAAATGCTAAGTACAGATGTAGCTCCCTTTGCTGAATTCTAAATCGCTCCTACTCAGGTCTTTATTTTTTGCTGGCCAATTTGTATGCCCCTGATACCACCTTTAATATCCCTTGTAATCCATGGTGTGGCCACCTTCCCTATTTTGATTTTGCACTAGATAGGAACAAACAATTGTCGCAGTTCATTCATGTGCACTAAATGTTCATCATTGCCTTTCTGTCACCATCCCATAAGTAATGCCCCAACTTATCCTAGTCAACTCACATCTCATACCACTAATTTCCTCTATTTAGACTCAAGACCTTAGTGTCTTAATCAACTACAACAGTCTCCACCTTGGTGAAGGATTCTATCATATTCTGGTCGCTCATCCCCCAAGGGGCCTCACACAATTACACTGTCAATTATTCCTTTTTATGCAATACCCAATCTACCCACAATACAAATTTGAAGAAGAACTATACAACACCTTATCTTCTGCCTGGGCACCCTACAGCCTGGAGGACTCAACATAGAGTTCTCCAATTTCAAATAATCTTGCCATCCATTCCCCACCTCCTCCCTTCCATTCCAACTTCTAAACCTCCCATTAACCAACCAGCTCATACTTACCACCAATTCCACCTCCATCCCTCTACCTGCAGCTCCCCCTACCCCACATCGAGTCCTGAAGAAGGGTAATACATGAAACGTTGACTGTTCCTTTCCTCCAGATGCTGTCTGGTCTGCTGTGTTCTTTCAGTCTCCTGTTTATCTACCTTGGATTCCAGCATCTGCATTTGTTTGTCTCTACCCAGTTCTAACTGGCGCCTCAACATAGTAGCCCAGAAAACTATCCCATATGTGCT